CGGCGAGAAGGAGGGTCAGAGGCAGGGAAGGAGAGGTGATGGGGCGGCAGTGGCTGGAGCAAAGGCAGTGGCTCTGGACTCCAGAATGCAGGGGGAGGCCCAGGGGCTGGAAAAGGCCAGGGCCCGCCCACAGCAGCCGCCTAAGCCAGAGCAGGGTCCCCAGCAAAGCTCATGCCCAGCCCCCTGGGGGCGGGAGGCCGGCCGGCCCACAGCCCAGGTGGTGTCCCTGCCCCGCCCCAGTTCCCCACGGATAGGGAAGGGAGGGGCTGAGGGGAGTGACCCAGCTGCCTTCAGGGACTTTCCCCCCAGGAAACCCCTTTAGGAACCTGATCCAGGTGCCCTAAAATTCAGATAATCCCTCACCCAAACACCAGCCCTGGGAGAATGGACTTTGCTCTTGCAAGGCTGATCTGACCCTTGGGGTTTTCTGCCCTTTGACTTTAGAACAGAAGGGAAAGGGATGCCAGCTTGCAGCAGGTAAAACTAGAGTTAGACGTCAGGGAGAACTTTTTGGCAGAGGATCTGAAGCTAGATGTGGGCAGATGGAGCTAGGGGTGGGGAGTTGGGGGGAGGGGTCATGGGTAGCTGGGAGCTGTGTGTGCCAAAAATCAGGAAGGCCAGACCAGGAAATATGTACTGCGGGGTCTTTTTGTGATCTAAGGGGGACAGAAAAGGGGCCCTATCAAAGCTGGGCCAGCGCTGGCTGCCGGCCAGCAAGGGGCCGGGTGGGGAGCTGGGGAGACAGCCCCGACCTTTTGGCATCAGCCTGAAGGAAGGCGGATTGCTCAGCCCCTTAATCCCCTTGCTGGCTGGCTTAGCAGCTCCTGCTGGGACCTGGAACACTGGGCCCTGGCCCCCAGCTCTAGAGCAGCCTGGCTCGGAGCAGCGGCCTTTGCACATTCCTGGGGTTCAGGCTGCCCCCTCCTAGCACCCCCACCTCTGTCTCCTCTCTCCCAGCCTCTCTCTCAGTCCTCAGGAGTAGGGGAATGTTTAACTCTCTTCGACCTCATTAGCAATCCCCTCACGTTCAATTGGGCCCCACTGCGGTGTAGGTGGAGGAGGAATGTCACAACCATGCTCCCACTCCTGCTTGCCTCCGGCCGCCCCCTCCGTCCCCAGCAGCCCACCCACCTTTCCTGGACTGCACTGGGGGAAGGTAGGTTCCTGCTGCAGACCCCTGCTGGCTTCCTCCCCCACAGCCCCAACCCCCCTCTGCAGGGACAAGTCCCTAGCCCGCCGTGCTCCCTTGCATTCTTCACGTGGCTATGCAAACGAGAGGGTGCCAGGCGCTGGGCAGACAATGGCAGCCCTGTGTGCCCGCCCAGGGCGTAGGCCTCTGGTATGGCCTGCAGCTCTGGCCAGAGCTGGGGGAGTGGTCTGCCATCTGAGGGTCAAGGGTAGGCACTGCTTGGCCTGTGGTGCCGCACATCTGAGGCCCCCTGTGCTGGGAGGGTCAGAGTCGTATGGATCTGGGCACACACAGACTTGCTTCCTGGATGATCTGTGGGTCCCAAAGAGCAAATGGGGTCTACGACAGTGGCAGACAACTAAGTCCTGAGCTCAAATTCTTCTGCCACAAAGACAAGACAGTAGGGGCAAGGGAGCCTCCTCCATCCTGCTGGGGCCACAGTGGGCACGCTGTGACTGGTGCATCCTAATTTAAGCATGCAGGGTTGCATGCAGGCAGAGGCCTCCTAACAGCAAGGAACCCAAGGCAGAGGGAGGTAACAGGTCCACAGCTAGGAAGCAGCGGGAAGGGCTTACCACTTGAATCTGTGTCGTGCTGGCCCCCATGGTCTCCCACACTCCTTCCTTTTTGAGGGTGGCACCAGGTCCAGTTTGAAGGGGGGCGGCAGGCAGTCACAAGACACTCTCTTGAGGTGACTTGAGTGACTGTGGTGCCTCAGGGTCCTCACTCTAAATGGAGGGCCTGCTTCATGGAGCTGTGGTGGTCTGTTAAGGTAATCAGTGTCTGCGGAGGGCAGGGGCCTGGTGCTGGGTAGCTGCTCTGCACACATTTCTCCAAAGGTGAAGCCCTCCTCTCCATGCTGGGGTTTGGCCCCTTTTCCCTGCCATCTGCAGATGCTCTCGCTGTAGGGAAGATCCAGGGGTCATTCTGGTTTCAGGGGGACCTGGGTGAGGTGCCCAGAGGCCAGGCAGAAACATGCCTCAGAGACACGGGCTGCAGTCCCCTCCATTGACAAGTTGAGAGCCAAAGAGGGAAAGGGAGCTGTGGTCCACAGGGCTCCAGAGCCAGCAGGAGGCCCATCTTGGGCATTCCCAGAGCCTCTTTGTGATCTAGAACAGTACACTCCTCTTCCTCTGAAGATCTTCTGTTTATCCCTTCTCTTTGTTATTTGAGGCTTTGAGTCTTCTATCAAAATATTCTCTCCTACCCTGATGGACTTCCCTCACTCTTGTTCCAAAGCCTTTTGGAATTCAGATTCCACTTCTGGAGTGGGACTCCCTAACCCGGCACAGCTTCTCCACCGAGGGCACCTACCACTCCTGGTGCCCCCCTTGCAGTCCAGTGACTCCCAGGCATGCGGGGAGAACAGGAAGGCTCAGGGTCCCAGCCCAGCCTCCATTAAGAGCTCACTGAAACTGCCCTGGGTGGTACATCACACTGTGCTTTCACTTACACTACAAGAAGCCTACAGTTGTAGCTTTACCTCTGCCATTGAAAAGCTACGTGACATTAGGCAAGTCCTCAGCTTCCCTGGGCCTGGTTCTCCACTGGAAAGTAGGGATAACACTTGCCCTGTCTGATGCATGAAGGAGTTTACAAGGATCAGATGTTAGGTGAGAAATGCCATCTGAAAGCATAAAATGGCCAGGCACGGTGGCTCACGCCTGTAATCCCAGCACTTTGGGAGGCTGAGGCAGGTAGGTCACCTGAGGTCGGGAGTTCGAGACCAACCTGACCAACATGGTGAAACCCCATCTCTACTAAAAATACAAAAAATTAGCCGAGGGTGGTGGCGTGTGCCTGTAATCCCAGCTACTCATGAGGCTGAGGCAGGAGAATCACTTGAACCTTGGTGGCGGAAGTTGCAGTGAGCTGAGATCGTCCCACTGCACTCCTGCCTGGGTGACAGAGCGAAACTCTGAAAAAAAAAAAAAAAAAAAAAAAAGCAAGCAAGCATAAAACGCCTGCAGAACTGCAGCGAATGAAAGCTCTGTTCCAAAAAGACTCCCTGCACAGGCCTGCCCCTCCAGCCATCGTACCCCAGGAGCGGGCAGACTGCCTGCAGCTGAAGACCGACTGTCACCACTTCCTCTGCAACACTGCCTGACCGAGAGCTGGCCTTGCTAGGTATGTGTTGATCATTGACTGCTTGGTATGAGGATTCAATGTTTTTGCCTCCCTCCCTGTGAAAAATCGGAGACCTTTCCACTGCCCTCTCTCATTGCCAGTGAGGAGGGTCTGATTCAGTCCTTAGCAATCTAGCACCTTCTCTGAAATCATCATTTGAAATTTTGGAGTTCTAATCACCCTCCCAACTCAAGAGTCTGAGATTCCCAGAACTATAAGCTTGGAATGGAGACTACTTGCCTCGGGGCGCACAGTAGAAAGCAATACAGCTGTGCGGCCACCCCTGACGATTCTGCCTGCCCGGGCATGGCTAAGCATCCTGATCTGCGGTCCCATCATACTCTTGGCATAGTTCCATTCACTGCGCTTAGCACATCGTTTATCTCCTTCTTGAGGTCACTGAGCACGTTGAGGCTGCACTAGCAGCCACATTTTAGTGTTCTACCCTCTCGCCCGGGCCAGGCGCCTCTGTGACACATGTGGTCGTCCCATTTGCCTTCTCTCCTCTGCTAACCACACTTTTTACAGGATCTGTTCTCTTGATGCCCCTGCTGAGAGCTCTGCTAGATGCCTGGCGTACCAGAGACCAGCAGCGTCTTCCACATCCAAATCTTCCCCATGTTTGAGGAATTGCCCCTCATTCCCTCTGATCCTCCTACGGAGTCTCTCCTATCTTCTCAAGCAGTTGTCTTCCCATTGCTCACAGGCCCTGGCACATGCATTACCAAACACAGACCCAAATCACAGTTGCATCTCAGCCGGCCTGCCATCACCCCATGCTTCCAGGAGGACTCGCCCCACTCTAATTACATACACTTATCTTGGGCCTGCTGCCTTGAAAACATCTGGCCTTTTGTGAGCCCAATTAAGAGGCTGCTGCCTGTATCTGATTAGCATAAGTTGAAACTGTAAAGGTCATCTGCCTTGATGTGAAAACTTCTGGAAAACCAGAATTAGGCTGATACAGTCTTCTGTAATATTGATGTCCACCATGGGCTAAGTGTTGTGCTGTTGCTTTGTGAGCATTCCCGAGTTCATCGCCTCAACCATCCTGGGAATGAGGAAACACACGCAGCTTCCCTAACTTGCTGGAAGTCACACAACTCCACGCGGTGGAAGTGGCGGTGTCGCCCAGCTCAGTGTGTGGGTAAAGTTCATGCTCTTTGCACTAACGCGGTCCTCTCTGTATGCAGAGTGAGCCACCCAAATAGGAGAGCAGGGATCAAGCATGATAAAAGGATGACTTATCTTGACTGGATCAATCCCATCAGCCAACAAACATGCAGCGCTATCTCCCAGCTCAAAAAATAATCGTTTCCTAACAAACAATTTTTCCTTTTTCCTTTCCTTTTTTCTTTTTTTTTAAGACGAGGTTTCACCATGTTGGTCAGGCTGGTCTTGAACTCCCGACCTCAGGTGATCCGCCCGCCTGGCCTCCAAAGTGCTTGGATTACAGGTGTGAGCCACCACGTCCGGCCAATTTTTCCTTTTTAATAGAGGCACGGTCTTGCTGTGTTGCTCAAGTTGGTCTCGAACTCCTGGGCTCAGTGATCCTTCTACCTTGGCCTCCCAAAGTGTTGCTATTACAAGTGTGCACCACTGTGCTCAGCCCAATAAATTTTTTTTTTAATTGGATTTCTTTTTTTTTTGAGACAAAGTTTCGCTCTTGTTGGCCAGACTGGAATGTAATGGTGTGACCTCAGCTCATTGCAACCTCTGACTCCTGGATTTAAGCAATTCTCCTGCCTCAGCCTCCTGAGTAGCTGGGATTACAGGCACCTGCCACCACAGTCAGCTAATTTTTGTATTTCTGGTAGAGACGAGGTTTCACCATGTTGGCCAGTCTGGTCTCAAACTCCTGACCTCAGGTGATCCACCCTCCTCAGCCTCCCAAAGTGTTGGGATTACAGGCGTGAGTCACTGTGCCTGGCTGTTATTTTATTTATTTATTTTTTTGAGACAGAGTTTCGCTCTTGTTACCCAGGCTGGAGTGCAATGGTGCGATCTCGGCTCCCTGCAACCTCCGTCTCCTGGGTTCAAGCAATTCTCACCGTGCCCAGATAATTTTTTGTATTTGGCCGGGCGTGGTGGCTCACGCCTGTAATCCCAGCACTTTGGGAGGCCGAGGCGGGTGGATCACGAGGTCAAGAGATCGAGACCATCCTGGTCAACATGGTGAAACCCCATCTCCACCAAAAATACAAAACATTAGCTGGGCATGGTGGCGCGTGCCTGTAATCCCAGCTACTCAGGAGGCTGAGGCAGGAGAATTGCCTGAACCCAGGAGGCGGAGGTTGCGGTGAGCCAAGATCGTGCCATTGCACTCCAGCCTGGGTAACAAGAGTGAAACTCCGTCTCAAAAAAAAAAAAAAAAAAAAATTTTTTTTGTATTTTTAGTAGAGACGGGGTTTCACCATGTTGACCAGGATGATCTCGATCTCTTGACCTCGTGATCCACCTGTCTTGGCCACGCAAAGTGCTGGGATTATAGGCGTGAGCCACCGCGCCCGGCCTTTTTTTTTTTTTTTTTTTTTTTTTTGAGACAGAGTCTCGCTCTGTCGCCCAGGGTGGAATGCAATGGCGTAATCTCAGCTCACTACAACCTCTGCCTCCCAGGTTTAACCAATTCTCCTGTCTCAGCCTCCTGAGTAGCTGGCATTACAGATACCCACCATGATGCCCGGCTAAGTTTTGTATTTTTAGTAGAGACTGGGTTTCACCAGGTTGGTCAGGCTGCTGTCGACCACCTGACCTCAGGTGATCCGCCTGCCTTGGCCTCCCAAAGTGCTGGGATTACAGGCATGGGCTACCGTGCCCAGCCTTGTTCTTTCTTTGAGACATGGTCTTGCTCTATCACTCAGGCTGGAGTGCAGTGGAGCAGGCTTGACCTCCTGGACTCGTGATCCTCCTACCTCAGCCCCCTTAGTAGGTGGGACCACAGGTGTGCATCACCATGCCTGGCTTTTTTTTTATGTTTTATTTTTTTTAGAGACAGGGTCTCCCTATGTTGACCAGGCTGGTCTTAAACTTCTGAGCTCAAGTGATCTATCTGCCTTGGCCTCCCAAACTGCTGGGTTTATACGCATGAGCTACTGAGCCTGGCCTAGGCTTCTTCTTGATGTCTTTTCTCACACATCCAATCTATCAGCAATGCCTGTTGGCTCTACTTTAAAAATAGGCCCCAGATACCCCTGACAATCCACCACTCTTTTTTATTTATTTGTTTTCAGAGTTGGGATCTTGCTTTCTCGTGCAGGCTGGAGTGCAGTGGAGCAATCATAACTCACTGCAGCCTTGAACTTCCAGGCTCAAGTGATCCTCCTGCTTCAGTCTCCCAAGTAGCTGGGACTACAGGCACTCACCATCTCTCCTGGCTAACGTCACCACACTCTTTCTTGCCCAATCTACAATGCCACATTGGCTTCCTTGTTTTTCCTCCACCTTGGGCCCTGACTTATTTTCTACCTCGAAGGATTTCTCTCTCTCTCTCTCTCACACACACACACACACACACAATTTACATGTGTATCTGTCTCCCCTACAAAATACAAGCTGTATGAAGTTGGGGGCTTGTTTTGTTCACCGTGTTCCCAGCACCAGGCATGTAGCTGGTGCTCAGTAAATATGTATTTGTTGATGGAATAAGTGAACACTCAGGTGCAGGTTCCTACATGGAAGGCCCTATAGCATCTTGAGCACAATAAAAGCTCTGGCCCTAGTACCAGGGATGTGGCCAGAGGAGCCAAATCTCCATTTCCAATGTTTCCTGGAGTGTGTCATCCTGCACGGGAAGGCTGAGACAGGACGCTGAGGCCAGACGGCAGAGCAGGAAGCATGTGGCTGACATAGGGGCGACGTGCCAGAGCACTGCTGACCGCCGCTCCCTGCCAGAAGAGGATTAACAATAATCCCAACCATTCACCCAGAGCTTTACTGTTTATAAAGTGTTGTCACATCTGATACTGCATCTGGGCCATACAGCTGTCCCAGAAGGTGAGCTGAGGGAGGACTATGATCCCCATTATACAGGTGACAACCCTGAGGAGCCAAAGGTTAACTGTCTGGCCTGTGGCTGTACAGCAAGTGGTCGAGCCAGGTGCCAAGCCAGGCATTCTTGTCCCACACCTGCCACTGGATCCTGCCTAGAGCAATTTTTATCAAGTGAGACCTCTGGGACAGAATGGGCAAATTTCCACTGTCTGAACAAACCAAGTAAAAAACCATGAATCATTTATTCTTTGGTTGTCTTCACAGACACTTAAATACTGTATTGCTGTCGTGTGGCTGCCTGTGGAGGCCCCATGGGTTGGCTCCGGGCCTGCGTCCTGAGCCCTCAGCCAGGTCCAGGGGGTGCAGCATCTGGTCATGTCCACTCCAAAAGCAGTAGCACCATGTAGAAGGCTGTGAGCAGAGTCCCCTTGTCTGAGTGGCAGACGTAGGCTCACTGCTCTGCAGCCCCAAGGGGCCAGCCAGTCCAGAGTGCAGGACAGAGTTCCTCTCCATGGTCTAGTCACCCATCCACCTGACCTGGATACTGTCATAGTTCATCCTTTGGCTTTGACTCACTGCCTGCGAGAGACTCTTGTGCAGGTTCCCGGGCGCTCTGCTGGGTGTCCAGGGGCTGCTCCTGGGAGAGATCCATCTCTTCTGGGCTGAAGAGCATCTTCACCAGGTCGTCTGCCTGCACCCTGTCCTGTGAGGACAAACCCTTGCCCATTCAGAAAGGCCTCTGGACCAGGCACATGCTATCTCTCAGCTGCTATCTCCCAGAAGACAAGGAAGGTTCCTTAATTGCTCCAGGCTCATCTCCTTCCCAGCAGGTCCTGCTCTCTGGACAAGGACAGCTAAAGTGGGGCCCAAGGAGGGAACCAATAACTCAGCATTGCTCCCTGTCTTAACCCCTTTCCCTACCTGGATCCCTGTTCACAGAAGGCCCAGGGAGGACAAACCAATGTGACCATAACGACAGGGCGTTGGAGCTGGTGTCCAAAGTGCTCCTTTTGTGTCTCAGCCACTGGCAGTGGGATTTGGGGAAGGGAGAGGCAAAGCAAGGGCTTTCTGGGAACAGGTGACTGCAGTACCAGCTGCTCTCACCCGCTCGCTGTGTCGAGGGTCCAGGGTGAACCACAGGGCGATGGCACAGCGCTGCCCCCTGGTGACAGCCTTTACTCCATGTGGGTTTTCAGTGCCTGAAGAGAATCCCACGGCCCTTCCACACTGAGGCTGCACCTCTGCCTAAGAGGGACAGAAAGGGAGGGGGGTTGCAAAGGACAAAGACTGTAACCCACTCTCAGAAGAGACATGGACTTGTTAGGGCTCAGGACCAAGGGCAGCTCTTGAGGTTGGCTTCCCAAAGGCCAGAACTAAAGAGAAAGGGTGACTGGTTAGAGGGGTGACGGACATGTCTCAAAGCCCCTCTGGTTGGGGGAAGGGTACTGCCCACTGGGAAGCCCAGTTGGTCATTTTTGTCCAATGCACTTTAGGAGCATTAGCTGTAGAAAACAGACTTTTTATCTCCCAGGGACAAGGGAGCACTCACCGTCACGGTCTTGGCATCCAGTTCAGTGAAATAAAAGTTTCCGCCATCGAAGTCCCCATTAAGGTAAAGGATGGCACTGGGAAAGGCAGAGACATCTCAACATGGCCCTTCCCCTCCTCCCTCTCTCCAGAGCCTTTGCCTCCAGGTGCTCTCAACCAGCAGCAGAAGGATGGCTTTGTGTGGGAGGGAAACCTTCAAGAACCTATACTGAAGCCGCACAAATACCCCCTTTCCCCTCTCCACCCTCACCTTCGAGTCCACCACGCCCTACTCAGGGGGCTTCTGTGCTAAGGGCACTCACTACTGTTCTCGTCACACCACACTGATTCCCTCTTTCCCTGTCTTCTCATCCAGTGGATTTGGGGATAAAGAATTGGACTCTGGGAAAAGCTGTGTGTGCCAGGGTGGGGTAGTAGAGTGCAGGGTACTGGAAGGCCTCCAAGGAGGGTACAGACTTTCTCACCCCGCATCTGCCCACACTCACCTGTAGTCCCGGAAGGTGTAGGCTGGGGGCTCTTTGATGCACACAAGGGTCTCGGCATTCAGGATGCAGTTGTCCACGTGGACTGGATGACTATCATCCTTCCTCTCTGTTTGGACCTCTGGGGCCAACGTCACACATGTCAGCATGGGAGCACCTCAGGAGATGGTACAGCTCTCTTCTTGGCAGGGGAGGTGCTTCCCAAAATGTGTGTGGGTCTATAGAATGCCCAATGAACTAGGGGGGTGTCTTTGGCTAAGCCACAGCCTAGGGGTCAGGACAAGTCTGCAGGCTTCCTAGGACGGTTCTTGGCAGAGGTGAGCAGGGTGTGGCAAACAGGAATGAAGAGCTTCAACCAAGGGTAGATCCTGGGCAGAATGGCACAACCCTGGTTTGTAGCTGGACTTTATAAAATATGAAGGCCCAGGGAAGCGAGAAGGAGGAGTCACGAAGTGGGAGGACAGAAGGCAGACTGGGTCAGCCCTCCATAAGGACTGTAGGAGATGGGGCTGGGTGGCAGGAAGTGGGGCAAAGAGCTGGCCAGCAAAGGGAAAGCATGAACTTCAGTTCAAGGCTCTGGGGTGGGGTGGGTGGAGAAACCATGTAGGGAGAAGGTCATGAAAGGGAACAGACTGGGTTCACTGTCAAATGCCAGGCAGACCATGCTTAGGACACAGAACGCGCCTTTCCCCAGTGCAAACCTTTGGCATGCTCTGTGTAGGCACCGTCACGTCATGGTGGGTGCCTCCTTCTCCATTCCCACCTGTCCAGCCAGTCGCCAGGTCCTTCACAACCACCTCCTGCACCTCCCCAGGACCTTGCTTCTCCCTCCTCCCACTGCCACTTCTTGAGCTTAGGGCTTTGCGCTTGTCTAACAGAGGTCACTGCTGACTGGCTTCCCTTTTCGGTTTGAAATCTCTCCACACACACAGCAGCAAAACAAAACAAATCCTTTAAAAGTCAAGGCCTCACCATGTCCTTCACTGCTTGATGAGGCCTCCCTGGCCTCCCACCGCCTGTGCCTGTGGTCCCCCACCGGAGGCTTGTCACACACCCAATCGTGTGTCTGACTGGTCCCTTGCCCAGATTCTGACAGAATTCCAAACATTCTGAGGCAGAGGAAAGCCCTCTGATCTGTGCCACCTACCAATGGCCTGTCAGTGCCAGAGGCCTGGTGACGGCTCCAGTATGACAGAGCCGGCTGTGGGCCATGTGGGATCCCTGCAGCACTGAGCAAACCTCTCCCCTCAGACACGCAAAAGGGAATGTGGGTGGGGGAGGGAATGAGGGATAACCTCCAGTCCATGCTCACTCATAAATCATGCAGCTGTCTCACAAATTTGGTACTTAACAACTAGTAAAAGAGAACTTGCCACATAGCTATGATTGAGCTAAAGGATAAAAAAATCCCTTGACTGTAGCTCTCCAGGATTTGGCACCTTTCTCAGCTCCCTTGACTACCAGGCTGCACAATGCCTCCGCTCCTGTGCAAACACCACCCCACCTGGTGTACTCTGTAATCGTATTCATCCTGCAAAACTGCCATCACCTCCTCTGGGAAGCCTTCTTTTGTCATTGTTGTTGTTATTTTTGCTTTTAACAAACCCTTCTGTCAAGGGCTGACTTTCAACAGATGGCAGCGAGGGAGCTGCTCTGCTACGTATGAAACCCCGACCCAGAGACAGGTCCTCTACTAATGGTTTAGTAACAGCTTTCCCAGGAACGTGTGCTGCATGATGAGTGAGGGGTGGCCACCTTTCTGGCCGCACCCTGTTTCCCTCTGGGAAGCCTTTTTGATCCCCAGGTAGGTTGACCGTAACTTCCTTCATGCTATTGTGGCATGCATCACACTGGGCTGCTGCCCATTTGTTTATGTTGGTTCCCCAACTAGAGAAAAGGGACCGCATCCTATTCTCTCTTTTTTTTTTAACCACGTTCCTAACCATCCTGAAGACCACATCCTATTCTCTCCATGTCCTCAGCATCCAGCACAGAGCTGAGGCACAGCATATGTGTGGGGCGCTTCAGGGAGGATGAGGCCCACCTTCAATGGCAGTGCGGCACACCAGATGAGAGTAGGAGAAGTAGAGGGGCGTGTCCAGGCGGAAGTAGGACTCCATGACGCGCCGTACCTTCTCTGTCACATTGTAGTACAGGTGGGCACTCTGCAGAGGAACTTTGCCTTCTTGCCCCAGCTGCCAAGGAGACAGGTGGTCAGCTGCCCTGAACACCTGATACAGTTTGGCTGTGTGTCCCCACCCAAATCTTCTCTTGTAGTTCCCATAATTCCCATGTGTTGTGGGAGGGACCTGGTGGGAGATGACTGAATCATGGGGGTGGATCTTTCCCGTCCTGTTCTCATGATAATGAGTAAGTCTCACAAGATCTGATGGCTTAAGCCGGGCACGGTGGCTCATGCTTGTAATCCCAGCACTTTGGGAGGCCGAGGCGGGTGGATCACGAGGTCAAGAGATCGAGACCATCTTGGTCAACATGGTGAAACCCCATCTCTACTAAAAATACAAAAAATCAGCTGGGCATGGTGGCGTGTGCCTGTAATCCCAGCGACTCAGGAGGCTGGGGCAGGAGAATTGCCTGAA